AAACATATCAACGTCGCCAACCAACGTCTGTCGTACCTATCCCTGAGGTCATACCTACCCTGAAGGTCATTGGAGACTCTCTTTCGAAGCCTTCTCCATCAATGGATCAGATCCTACAACCTGAGTCTGATCTTCCGATTGCCCTTCAAAAATGTATATGTCAAACACAAAATCCTTCTCCATATTATGTTGATTTATGTTATCATCATCTTTCCCATTTGCAGTATACTTGTTTATCTTCTTTGTCTTCTATTTCTATTCCTAAAACTCTAGGTGAAGCATTATCTCACCTTAAATGGAGGCAAAAAATGATTGATGAAATGTGTGCTCTTCAAAGTAGTGGTACTTGGAAACTGGTTCCTCTACCCCTTGGGAAATCTTTAGTAGGTTGTCATTGGCTTTATACAGTGGAGGTTGGACCAGATGGTGAGATCGACCAGTTTAAAGCTCGATTGGTAGCCAAAGGATACACTCAGATTTTTGGGTTGGATTATAGTGATACCTTCTCGGCTGTAGCCAGGATGTCATCTGTCATACTTCTTCTAGCCATTGCAGCCATTCAACATTGGCCTCTTCATCAACTTGACATCAAAAATTCCTTTTTACGTGGTGATCTTAAAGAGGAAGTATATATGGAGCAACCACATGGGTTTGTTGCTTAGGAGAGTCATCGAATATGGTTTATAGGCTACACAAGTCTCTTTATGGTCTTAAGCAATCTCTAAGTGCTTGGTTTGGCAAACCCAGTGTTGCAGTACAACAGTTTGGTATGGTCCATAGTGAAGCTGACCATTCTGTTTTTTATCGTCACTCAGGCCAAGGGTGCATCTATCTTATTGTGTATGTAGATGATATCGTCATAATTGGTAGTGATTATCATGGAATACTCTAGGTGAAACAACATCTCTCGAATCAATTTCAGATAAAAGATCTTGGTAAACTCCACAACTTCTTGGGGATTAAGGTGACCCAATCTAAAGATGGTTTGGTGATTTCCTAGCGGAAGTATGCTATGGATATTTTGGAAGAAACATGGTTGAATTCTAAACCAACTGATACTCTTATGGATCCAAGTGTCAAACTTATACCCAATCAGAGGGAGCCTCTATCTGACCCAGAAAGATATAGGAGATTAGTTTGAAAGTTGAATTATCTCACAATCACTCGTCTGAATATTTTTTGTGTGGTTAGTGTCATAAGTCAGTTCTTAAATTCCTCTTGTCAGGAACACACAGAAATTGTCATCCGTATTCTAAGAAACATCAAATGTGCTCCAGGAAAAGGTCTCATGTATGAAGATAAAGGACATACTCATATAGATGGATACTCCGATCCAGATTGGGCAGGATCGCCCATTGATAGACGATCCACCTCTGGATATTGTGTACTTGTTGGAGGAAACATTAATTATATCCTGGAAAAGTAAGAAACAAAATATAATTGGAAGATCAAGCGTCGAGGCAGAGTATAGGGTCATGGAAATGGAAACATGTGAACTTATTTGGTTAAAACAGTTGCTCAAGGAACTTCAAATCAAAGAAGCGAGACCAATGACACTTATTTGTGATAATCAAGCTGCATTGCACATTGCTTCAAATCTAGTTTTCTGTGAGAGGAACAAATATATTGAGATAAATTGTCACTTTGTTAGATAGAAGATCTAATCAAGCAACATCGTCACAAGCTTTATCAACTCTAATGATTAATTAGCATATGCATTTACAAAATTCTTACGAAGCTCCAAAACTAATTATATATGTAACAAGGTTGGTGCATTTGACTTATATGCTCAAGTTTGAGAGAGAGTGTTAATTATTGTAAATATATAGTGTTTAGAATATTTGTAAATAGAATAGTCTCACGTCGACTATATCATGTAATTAGTTGTAATCTCTCTATATATAATAATATATCCGTAGTGCTTCAAAACACAGTTTAATCTAAATGTCTTTTAGTCTCGCTTATTTCAACAAGGTGCGTGTCATCGGCAACTAAGTGATCAAGATGCACTCTAAACGACTATGTCTCCTAGTTCCTTCTGAGCGGGACGAATGCAGTAGAACGCAGCATATCCTCAGTGTAAGTCGGTACCCTCGCTCAACTGGAGACGCGCGGGAAATGCTGGAGGATCCAAGCCTGAAAAAGTTTGGAACACACAAATCATATTCAATGGCATTGGGTTGTAAAGATGAAATGAAAATGACACAAAAACATTAAAAGACCAATAAATATTATCGTCAGTTATGTGATGTTGCTGGTGACCTGCTTCATCTTCCACCTACAACCCTCTGATAACTTTGTGTAGAAGTAAATCAAACAAGCGACCCTCCAATTGTACTCATGGATCCGCTCGAAATCCTCAAAGTATCATAGGTAGACAACATCTATAAAAGTGGTTCCCCTGTCCAGAAAAATCGTAGTTCAAGCCAAAAGTAACAAGTATGCTCTCATAACATACGATGTGGAGCCGCACCTGCTCGTCATCCCCTACAACTTGTTGTGCTCTAACGATCTCATATGTGTATACCTTTTTCAAAAATTCAAACTTAGCATAAGCCCCCTAGTTCTATCCAACTCATCCATCGCATCCGCTAGGTCAACTCCAGATAGTCTACCATCATCCCAAGTGCCTCGTCTTTGCTAATCCTCCCATATGTATAAGTTTCCCTCTGATCGAAAGATGTAGCAAACACGACATCGTCGAGTGTGATAGACATCTCACTATACGGGAGATGAAATGACGAGGTCTCAGAGTGTCATCTCTCCATGAATGCATTAAGCATCTCGTGGTTGATCGTAATATAACCGGTTATGCACAAGTTCTTCATCCTAGATAGGGACAAAGTTGTCTAAAACCACTCCTCATTCGGCTAAGGCATGTCGGTAATCTTCCACCTGTGGTTAATAAACTTCAGCGGATCACGGTCCTATAGAAAAATAAATAAATGTAAGAAACTTGTAAATTAAAATAAACATAAATTAAAAGAATGAATCCAACTAATGCTACCTCTTTGTCCCAGATATGTCTGAAAATTTGGTCTGGATATAGAGGCAGTAGTGACAAGTCTACAAGGCCTCTTTCAAATGGCTCTGACTCACCATCCAGAGATGGCACTGGCTCAGAAGCACCATCCGTCGGAGGTGGCACTGGTGCCTCCAGCAACACCTGTGACTTGGGTACTTCTAGCGCTAGAATAGGTGAAACCTAGCGCCTGTGGGAGGATTGAGGGGGTAATGTGTCGTTAGGTGAAACTCGCTCCTACGGGAAGATGATGGAGAAGCATGACGAGAAGGATGAGCCTCAAAAGTATATGCCTCCGCATGACCAGAGTGAACAAGAGCCTCTGAAACCTGACTCTTCTCCCGCCGCACTTATGTATATTGTGCAATCCTCCCGTGCCTCAATCTATCTTGTCTATCAGCCATAATGCATGTAAGTAAAAGTAAATCAGACAATTAGTACAAGCAAGCAACACTACAAATAAGAAAAAAAAACAGTGAGAATTTCCGAAGGTGCGTCTCTGGTTAATATGAAACTAAACGTTGAAAAATTCAGGAGATGAATCTCCGAAATTTTCTACAACTCAGGCACATCAATTGTGGAAATGCAGAGTTATCAACACAAAATAATGGTTTGATCATCATTTTCAGCCAACAAAATGTTTTACACTATGTCTAAACTATTATTCATGCAATTTCTACTAACTTCTTATCTTAATCATCAATTTCTACTCATTTACACAAACTCTAAAACTTTTCAACAAATCGAAAAGCATACAAATTTAGAGTTTACCTCACACTTTGATGATGTATCTGATGCACTTGATATTGATTGAATAACCTCTGAGCTTTGTTGTTTGATGGGAAAAAATTGAGATTTTTTGATAAACTTTTGAACATTTTTTAGAAATGAGAAAGTAAAGAATTTTAACATTAAATTAAAATTTAATACGTTCAAAAATATATATTTTCACGTGTTGCCTAAACAACATATAAAGGACATTAAGAAATCCTCAGTACTTAATACTTATTCTTTGGCACAAAATTTGTCTTGGTTTGATAGAATGTGCTATAATCTATTTTGCTCTATCCTGAGTTCAATTTTTATATGAACACTAATTAGAGAGAGGGTTATGGGTTTGTAAAAAAAGTAAATAAAAAAAAAAAAACTAGTTTAAGGATATCAAGATATGCCATAATCATATACATACTTTTTAAAATATATATCTTAAATTTTATTTATTAATTGAAAATTTTAAAATTTTAATGCCTTGTATTAAGAGTTTGGTTGAGGTAGAAGCCTCCATCACAAGAAAGATCTCTTTTTTTTTTAGCAAGTACAATTTTTAGCAACAAATGTAAAGACTAATTTTTCTGAGACAAAAAAATCACAATAAATAGCAAATTTCTCAGAAATTTAACAGTGCTGCATTTCATCCAACCCAATGGTAAAGGGGAATAAGAAAATAATTATTTACTATAATTCATATGGGTACACTAATTTAAACATGTCCTATATTTACAAGAGAAAAGCTTGTATAGTGTAGAATTCTCAGCAGCTATCCATGACATAATTTGCATGGCGACTAACTAAATAGTTGAATTTGGTAACATAATTGCTACTCAAATTATGAAAAGTTGCCCAGATTCTTAAAACTAAAAAATGAAATCTATAGTTCTCCTGCAGTGACTAACTGAAAATGCAAACACTAACTTAGACTCTGCTTCTGAATCCAGATTGTTGCACACTAGCTTTCAAGTGTATACCCTCCTCATAAACAAATAATCATCTACACATCAAAAAATATGAAGAAGTTATTTTCGTCACTTCAAAAAAAAACCTGCAAAGCCCTTGAAGATATATACAGCCACTGAAATAGCTTCTACAATGAATATTTATGGTAGATTTCGTCATTGCGCCGAGCACACAAACAGCTATTGTCAGTAAGGGCTAAAACACTGGATCCAATCGAAGCTTTAGACAAGACAATAGATCCGTATCAGTTGAAAAAATATGGAGACTCTAAAACTTCACTCAAATCAAAGTCTCCGCGTTCAGGTAAGGGTGGAAATATTAAAGATGGGAAAGATTCTTGAAAGCTCTCCAATAACTGTGCACAAATAAAAAAAATAAGAGATAAAAAAATAAGTAAAATAAAAAACCATTGGATATAAAGAAAGAGCAATTAAACCACACATTTTCAAGAATTGGGGTCTCATAGAGTTCTACAAATTTCTCTCTCAGTATTCTGTTCATTTCATCAACATCACACGCGTGCGTCCAATATGAATCATGAACCCCTGCAAGCATATATATAAATCAATCAGTGATAATCTTGTTAAAAAGTTGTAGAATAGAAGCACTATAGCAAAGAAGAATTTGAATGAGCCGCTATTTTTCGCAATTTGTGATTGAGAAAACATGGTCTCCACCATTGTCTAGTAGGGTCTAAATATGAACACCAACGAAAGAACCTAAGAGGAAAATACCTGCAAAATTTAAGCCTGCCTTTTTGCAGGCAACTGCAGTCATCATCATATGAGAACCATCGAGTGAGTGAACAAAATTTGGTGGAAATGCGGTTCTCTGCCGTTTGGCCAGGACCTGGAATATTTGAATTAAAATTTAGATCAGGAAAAAACAAATCAAATCTTAGTACCAAAATGTTTTCCACTATAAACCGTGCTAGAGATGTTTGCAAATGTTTGATACTTCTACAACAATTTCTATATAGCCACAAATTTAACCATTACCTTGTCTGTTTCTCGTTGCAATGATAATATTTGAAGTGATGTTTTGATCTGCAACACATAACAATAATATAAATTTAACATATAGATAGACAAAAAATCACAAGAACTTGACAGAAGTACTTATGCTATAATTCCAAGAAAATTTTGTTGCACTTACAATATGTCTTCCTAGTTTACGGTAAGGTTGCACCACAGGAAGTCCAAGAGGAGTGGTCCAACGCACTGGTTGATTTTCCGCTGCAATTACCTAGTACAATTGTCTTAGTCAAAATCATACCATAATACAATTAATTAACCCTTTTCTCCTAAAAGATAAGCATGTTATAATCCTCCTTTCCATTTCTAAGTTTGACAGTAAAAGGAGCATTGTAACATACTTTTGCACAATCGCCGAGCCAGCTCATGATACTTCGTGCGCCTTGAAACATCTCTTCTAAGGCAGTTAAGGTCACCTGAAAAGGAAAATAAAAATGAAGAAAACAATACATACCTAACATGGACAAAGTACACTGGCATTTTAACACTCTAACCTTTGCAGTATAACAAGCAGCACCAAAAAGCTCTGAATCATCTGAAATAATATCTCTTTCTTTCAACCTCCTCTTTATCTGTTCCCTTGCTCCAATATAAGTGACACCGTAAACTGATGTCATCACTGTCTGCTTAACCAATTTTCTATCCACCTAGATAAAGTTCAATCAGCTCAAAATCAGTTTTGAGATGAGGAATGGGTACCAAAAAAACAAGCATTAACAAGAATTAGCCGGTGAATAAATTATTTTCATCCGGGTTTATGATTACAAGTGAAATATATGTCCCTAATCTCTCTTTGTAAAAATATGAGCCAAATCACAACAGAGGAATAGCAGATAACCTGGTTAACTAAAGTCTTTGCATGACGAGCATCAGTAAAAACTGCCGGATCTTTCTGAGCATCCTTTTGCATGATTTCTAATACCCTGCATAAAATTGTTATTTATGATGAGTTGTTTTGTAGAAGATGTCTCTTACAATTAGAGTCAAAAGGTGATTTAAAAAAAAATAAGCAAAAAAAAAAAAAGCTTTTGAATATCAGAATAACTAGAGATAAATAATAAACCGAATAACATATCAGGAAAAACAATTGCTCCATAATCCTCCTAAACTTTTTTATAGAAGGGATTTTAGTAGAAAGAAAAACGAATGCATATGAAACAAGATACGCAAATACTTACCTAGCTGCTATACCCGAGTAGACATCAGCTGGCTTCTCTCCTGCAACTAGATTGACAGCAGCGGCCCCTAACTAAATAAATAAATAAATAAATAATTATTAAATAGACATCTCCTATCTGCAATATAGTTTTTGCTCAAAAATACAATAGAGGAATGCTAAATGAAAGGAACCAGAAACATCATTGGAGATGAAGATACTGAGGGAACATAGAGAGCATTTATTTTTTGAAATATTAGTTCTTACAAAACACAATACTCATACATTTCCACCCATAAAATCGAGACATGACAACAAAAGAACACGTCATGAAATGTTATCTCAAAAGCTTAAGCTGTTGGTGAAAGCACGTGAATAGAGTAATACCTGAGTGCAAATGTACAACGTGTAATGGGATTACTCAAGCCAAATTCATTTTCAACAACCATCAAAATCTTAGGAGACGTTGGAGGTGGTTTTAAGTTTCTGATTTTTTTATTTTAAAAGTTAAATTTGATAACAAAGCTTCCCCAGTAAAATGAGATTATATTTAATTTTTCCTTTGATTTTAAGACATCCACTTAAATATAATTCTTGTTTTTTATTTAACCCTAACGCCACCACCAGACGCCAGCCACCACTCTTGTTACCACCGGTCATACTATGACTGTTGCATCCATCTCTGGCTGCTGCCCACCACTCTGACAATTGTCAGTAACACTGACCACCACGGCAGCTGGCCACCATTCTGACTATTGCATCCACCAATCACCACTCTGACAGACAGTTGTCTGCCACCATCTCTGACACCCATCACTTTTTTAAATATTGTGGGATTCAAGAGAGTTATTGTGATTTCACAAGTGTGAGAAACTTGAGTATTAACATGATGATTTTCTCAGTTGTTGCTCAACAGAGGCTCGCGGCATTTGTAAGTTTGTGATGTCAAAATTGATATTTATTTCAGACTATTGTATTTATGTGTAAATATAAAACCAAAAACCACCCTGGGTGGGGCCTCAAAGAAAACAATATTCAGAAGTGATATTCATTCCCTAACCCTAACTTGATCTCTAATACCTAGGAGACTAAATAAGTTGAAACTCAAATTTATGAAAAGGAAACTGGGAAATTAAATTGACAAAGCCATTTACCTTGTCTCTTCCTAAAGCAGCATAATGTTGTAAGCCATTGCAAGAGCCATCCTAAGACAAAAATAATAGAAGTACAAAACAGTGATTAGTTAATAAACATGATGATATGTTACAAACGGAAATGATGATAACAATGAACCTGACAATAACAAATATGACATTACATGACTAATTGGTTTTGGATATCAGACAACAAAGACATTAGGAAGAGAATAAGCTAGTGACTTTCATACAAAGCATTGAGGGCGTGACGCGTAAAGAAAAATGCTATCAAAACACTGAGACCTGTATCTTTTATAATATTGTGGGTTTGGTGAGAGTATGTGTGCATGTGTGGTGTCTGTTTCAGCAGAAGTACTCCAGTGGTAGTTTCAACTCAATTCATATAAGGGATAGCTAAATCATAACCTCAAAAACTTAATTGAAGCAAAATTATGAGTACCCTAACATTTTGACATGTTAAAGTTCATTCCCATCGTGAAAATACCTGATGTACTGGAATATGTGATATAAATGCTTCTGGTGAAGAACTTCTTAAAGCCTCAGTTAGAGTTATGCATGCAGCTAAGAACTGGAATGGATCTTCTGCATTCAACCACCACCGTTTCCCTTCCGTAGGATTATCAGCAGAATCAAATATCTCATCAAGATGGTTTTCAACAAACGCTATGCGACCTTCACTAGATAGCTTATCAACACCGCCAGCATATAGATTTGCCGTGTGTATCTTCAGCCAGTTCAGACCAGACTTTCCAAGAGGACGTCCTTCTGCAAATTCCAATATCCCTCGACATATATCTGAACCAAGGTGATTCAAGTGTGGATGCATGGGATATGCGCGGCCCCGAAAATCAACGTTGTGTGGGTAGTAAAAACACTCTTCATCCCTCATTTTACGTGCTACCTGCAACCATAAATATAAATGAATGGGTTAGTTGAAAAAAATAGGATTTCTAGCTAATGCACATAATGGTCAAGGAAGCATACAGAAAGTTTAAGTTCTATGTCACAACGCTGAGAATATCTCTCCCTGTTCTCTTTCTTCACAGATTTGACCTTCCATTTCCACTTCTTTTTCTTTGCTTCATCGTCAGTTTCTGGCTCCTCAGGTAAATCAAGCTGCAATATAAAGTTGAGCACCATTTCAAACCATACTCAACCATAAGTTTCTTGAAGCACAAAATGCAAAATTAATGATTCCTGAATCTTGAATATTATTATTTACACACAAAAAGGTAAAATAAGCTAACAACAAACAATAAAATATCAATACAAACAATTAGAAAAAAGTAACTGTATGGTTGATCTTACATCATTGCGGTCCACCAAACCAGCAAGACGGCCTCCATTAGCCCACATCTTGTCCACAACACTGAGCACCTTACCGTTTATCCTCCATTTTGTATTCCCTAGAGTATCAAGAGCCTAACCCCAAGAGTTTTAGATGTACATAGGAAAATAATATAATATAATATAACATAACCCAAAATGCATGAAAATTATAATAAATTCAGACCTCAAATACAGGCTCTAGTTGCTTCCTAGGGGTTCTCTTAACAGCCTCACGTTGTTGCTTGACACCATGTGTACGCATGACATAGGAGGGTAAAAACAAGTGCCCACCTCTGTCATAACTGTGAAAACACACCATAAAGAAAATTGAGAACTTGGACCACATTATCCATTCATCCAAAAGAAGAAAAATAGTAAATATCATTTTGTAAATATTGAATTGTATGATTGATTGTTGATAGTCAGTGTATGAAGAAAATCCTTTTTTAAATTTTGAAGCCAATTGCAAAAGGAAGTTGTATACTTGGTTAATACAATAGTTCAGTAGAAGAAAACAAGTATGTTGGGGAAAGCACGGCCACATGGGTCACTAGTTGAACTCATGAACCAATATACATTAGTAATTTATGAATTATATATTTTATTATTTACTCACATATATCATGTATATATATAACATCAAAAGTGAGGCGACAATTAGGACTTTGTTTTATAACATTTTTACATTTGTATATTACTGATGTGTTTTTACTGATACGTTTTCTAATCTCTGCCAATGACCGCCTCTGGGCAATTGCTGAGTTCATCAGTGAATTGGGTCGCCGAGTTGCATCAGTTCAAACTGATTCAAAGCCAGTTTTGTGATGTCAACACCGACTCAATAGCACGGCCGATCAGAGATGACATGGATGACCAGGCCAGTTTTATACACTAATCTATTTTGGTCCAATGTAGCACAAAATATTTATTGGAAGGAGCTTAATGCCCGCGTTACTTAGTGATTGTTATTCAAAAGTTGGCAAGAGGGTAGCTTAATGCCCGCGTTACTTAGTGATTGTTATTCAAAAGTTGGCAAGAGGGTGCCTTAAAGATAAGTTCATTCATCTAAAAACCAAACCAAACACACCCAAAAATAGCCTATTAAAGGAAGTAATGTGCTGTTTTTTCAAACGATAACATAGTTTGATTTTACCACCTAGTGATTGTTATTCAAAAGTTGGCAAGAGGGTAGCTTAATGCCCGCGTTACTTAGTGATTGTTATTCAAAAGTTGGCAAGAGGGTGCCTTAAAGATAAGTTCATTCATCTAAAAACCAAACCAAACACACCCAAAAATAGCCTATTAAAGGAAGTAATGTGCTGTTTTTTCAAACGATAACATAGTTTGATTTTACCACCTAGCCCCAATTTATAACAAAAAAGGTTAAAAGAAAAGTTTTAAATCATTTGTAATCATAAAACTAATAAGCAGAAGGTTAGAACATTAGCAAGACAGCACTAAATGTATTAAAGTTATCATACCCTGTCCATTTGACTGGTGGAATCAACATAGGCAAATATGGTATGACCATATTTCTTGCCTGTAGAAAAAAAAAAAAAACAAATCAAAAATTTGTAGAACCGATGAATAGGAGATGTGACTTTTAACATAAAATATATAAACAATGTAGGATGCATTCATATATATTCAGAGCTAATTGACATTGAAATGGGCATTACATATAGAGGTGCTTTTAATACCCTAAAAAAGATAACCAAATAACTCAGCATATGAGAATTCAAAGCATAAACAATTCAATATAAAACCAAATAACAACAAATAAAAAGGAGAGAACTTTTACAATGACAGCACATAAGTAATTGTTGTCAATTCATGTTTGATTCAAAAGTTATCATAGGACAAAAAAAAACAAAAGATGAAGAACAACATGAAACCCCAAAATTCAATTACTCAACAAACCATGGGACAGAAAATTATCCCATGGGTAAAGTACTAAACCAAAAAAACTTCATTTTTTGTTCCAATCCAGTAATTATTTTTTTCTCATCTCTATCTCTTCTCTCCCCCACCCCCTCTCTCTATATGCATAGTTAAACTTTTCATTATACATAAACTCAATTTGAATTTCAACTAAAAAGAATAGAAGGCAACAGAATATATTTACCGTTCGCTCAAGTCCTTTAAGAATTATAGGGTCACATTCAATGACACCATATTTTCTGCCTGATTTCCTGAGGAAATAAAATAAAAAATCAAAACAACAATAAAAAAATACTGCTGAAATATATATTTTAAATTACGGAGAGGGAGATGTTAAAACTCACGTAGACTCTTGTGTCGTTGTTCTAAATGAATGCGTAAATGCAGGACGGATATCAAGTGCACCATCCTCCAACTGATCTGATGGTGGTTGTATAAATGCTGTTTGCATCAAAAGTTCAACTAAACGGCTGGCTACCTGTGCAATTGGGAAGAGGATACTCTCTTATTATTATTATTAGGGAACAAATAAATTGCAAAACAAACATTTCGAGAGTGTAAAAGAGATTGTATAGACCTTTGTCCTCATAGATACTCCCCACGGTTTTGTATCATCGAGGTCCTTAACAATTCCTCTCACTGTGGCAAGCTTTTGCTTTTTCATCAAATCAATGACTTTTTTCCGCAGTTTCGTCTCTTCCTTGATATCTTCAGTGTACTCAACTACTTTATTTTTCATGCCTTTACGAGGTTTTCTCTTACTACTCTTTTCCAAGAACTTGTGTATTCTAACCTATGGTGTAACAATAATAATAAGCAGAATATAAGGTTTACACTTAAAGCAAGAAAGTGGATTAGGATACTATATACATGTAATGTTATTTATACAAAAGTTAATTGTTCAGAATAACCTATGGAATAACAATAATAATAAACAGGATATAAGGTTACACTTAAAGCAAGAAAGTGGATTTGTACTAGTAGGATACCATATACATGTAATTTTATTTATACGGAAGCTAATTGTTCAGAATAAATGGACTTAAAATGAAGAATTTTTTGTTGTTAGAAAAGCCACTTCTTCAAGCTCGTCAAGCCATAATATTGCAGTACTATGTAGTCACTCACACACGTCGGTATGTGAATGTGGTTTGTAGGTAGGGAGGGAGGGAAAATACAGAACAGGATGCACTCTGCATTTTGGGATCATTTGAACCAAAAATCCCACAAAAGCCTAGTCCCCATCGCTATCCCTATTTCATGATTCTCGGTTCCCACCCTCGGCCCCACTCAAATAAAGCCCAGAGTTACCTATTAGGCAAGGAATTGCCATTCCTACCACCAAAACTCTCAGAATTTGGGTTGGGCGTAACTCATCCCTACAAAACCAGCTTATAAGGTGAGGAATGTCCTGTCCCCACTAATAAACACAACACAGGTCATATCTTTAAGCAATGTGAAACTAAATCCACCCCTTCAAAGCCAACACAATGAAGGTGTTAGGGGCTGCAATGAAGGGAAGTCAAAGTGCCGCAATTAAGGCGACCAGGGGCAGACTGAAATTAAGGCAGAAATTCCAACAAAAACTCATTGTAAAATAATGATATAAAAAACTTAAAATAAAAGACAGAATGAAAGCCATAAATATGTTCAACATTATAGGTCACTATGTAGATCTTTGCCTAGTGAAGATACTAACATCTCTCTCCATCAAAACCTCATGAGTTTCCGAAGGGTCTTTCTAGGTCTAAATAATATGAAACTGAATAATTTGAACTATTTCAATGAACATATTTGTGCTGCTATTAATATTACCCGAAGTCCATACAAAACAAACACAAAAACAAAACAAGAAATGCAACTTCCTATTCTCACCTCTTGCTCAATGGCATCACCTAAAATGCATACGATCTGGATAACCTTAGCAGTGCCAGCAGATCCTTTCTCAGTTCCTGACATCAACAATCCCATGATCTTATGCATCGTAATTACAGCCATCTTCTCGGATGGCAACTGAACAAAGAAAGGGGAGTAAACTGTCCTCCTCTTCCCGCTACGGTACATCTCTTGCTCCTTCTCAATTTCATTCTTTAGAGGCTCAAACCAACCAAGAAATAATGACTTCATATAAGGCAAATTAGGTGCCAACTTATGTCGACACATATCAACCAATAACTCCTGATACTCCTTTGCAGCTTCTTGCCATACTTCAGTCTCAATCTTCACTTGTCTTTTCTTTAACGTTCTGTATTTCCCCTCTTTCATGCCATCAATCAAATTCAAATGTCTTTTCTCTCCCCTCTTCAACTCATCCCCCTGTCTTTTCTCTTCCCTCTTCATCTCATCCAACAACTCTTTAACTTCATCAACCCCGACTAGACCTTCCTCCGCATCCCCTTCCTCCGAATAGTTCGAAGAAAAAATCGCCTCACTTTTTAACCTAAATTCAGCAATCTTTCTCTTCTCTTCTCTCTTCACCTCCTCCGACAGTTCTCTAATTTCAACATCAACCTGAACAGAATCTTCCTCGGCATCTGTCGAAGAAATCGCCTCAGCAAAACTAGAATACTCTATAGCATCAAATGGAAAACCATCAAAACTGCGGTCTTCCTCAACATCAGCCTCAGCGACACTAGAATAACCTTTAGCATCAAATTGACACAGAGAATTATTAGAACAACAACCACCAACAAAATTTTCATTTAACTGAAACCGAGACTTATTCACATGTCCAGATTTATTTTGCTTTCCAGAACTATACATAATATCAGACTTAACAGGAAAAACTAAGTTTCGAGAAAGAGCAACTGATGGGCGGCGAACACTCGTACGAATAAACCCTTTACAAGCTTGTTTCCCAAAGTTCCGCCACATGTTTGATGAAATGCCCAAACGAGTTTTTTTCACAAGATAACGATTTTGCGTAGGGATAATCAGAGAATCATGTCTCCTATTGTAGGAATTAACGGTGGTGGTGGTTAACATTAAATTGTGCGGAACAATAACCATGGATGAAAATGGATAGAACAAAAAACGAAAAGAAAAGAAGAAAAAGGGTTAAGAGACGCAAAATTCATAACATGAAAATGGAATTGAAACTTGGAATATATAGTGGCGGCGGTTTAAGAAGAAGAGTGGGTTGAGTTTATGCAATCGGAGTCGAGGGAGGAAGTTAGGCAGAGTTATTGGGGTAGCGATTACGGCTCAAAAACCCTCCTTCCCATAAGGATGGGGTTTTAGGATAAAATCATAAAGACAGTTTGAACCTTCTCTTAAATATTTTTTTTTTTTTTAAATTGTGTTTTATTTCTTTACATAATTGTAGAGATTATGGATGAAAATTGAAATAGGTTATAATGAACAAACAAATACTCTTTTATGAGTTTTAATATTATCACATTAATATGACTTTTGATTATGGCTGCGAGAGAAGAGATCCAAATCGTCTCATTTGATTATTATTCGATTTTTTCAAATGTTTTTATGAAAAACATAAAGATTTAGTTGTCTAATATGGTTGTCCGATTGATGAAGACGTTTTATTTTTCTAATCAAAGAGTATTTGTGTAAACAGATAAGTTTCTCTTTTGAAATGGTTATGATAACTTAGTGTCAATATCTTCTTCAAACTTTCTTTAGGAGCCTTGTTTGATTTGATGTGCGAGTTGTATATGTGAGGGAAAACTGTCTCACAACATACGTTCTCAAGTTTCGATGATGACAAAGTACAACCTCGGATGAATCAGAGTCGTCATGCATACTTACGATGATGACAAAGTACAACCTCGGATGAATCAGAATCGTCATGCAATACTTAACATATTACATCCTTCCTATATCCTTTTAAATCATCATATTTCATTGGCAATATATGTGACTAATGTTTGGTCGTGACAAGATGCACGAAACAACAAACATATCAATTTTTGCAGGTTTTGTAGCTATGAGTCAACCATACCGTCAGCACACAATTTCATTCAGTTCACACGGGTCAGCGCATGAAGGTCATGCGTCGACCGTTAACTTGGCGCATGCAGGTTTAAGAATCTCACGGGTCAGCGCATGAAGATCATGCGTCGACCGCTGACTCGGCGCATGACAGTTTGAGAATCACACGGCTCAGCGCACGCCGACCCTATGGTCGACCGTTCGCGCGCAGAAACAGAAATTCTGCTATGTTTCATTGATCTGTCAACTGTCTGTTTTGTATATTACTATAAATAGCTGTCTTTTCAATTTTAACATTTTCATTGAACATTTTTTTAAGAACATTTTTGAAAGCATTGTGAGAAAGTGTTCAGGTCAAGAAACGTGAAAGAGGTGCATCAGTGTTCTTCATCTTCATCGTTCAATCAACTCACAAATCCTCAAATTACAGATAATCAATTTTTTGCTGCGGTTTGTGGTTTGCTCGACGGTGATAAGGTTCGAACGCGTGATTGAAGATCCGGTTCGAGTGGAAGCTGGTGCAGGTGTTTCTTGGGAGAAAACCTTTGAGGTTTTACCTATCAAGACTACAGGTTTTGAAGGCTTTTGTTACGGAATCGTCGGTTCAACAATCAAGCGAGTGCGAAGGTGATTGATTAGCGGAAGGTTGATCAATCTAGTAGCTAGGGCGTTGAAAGGTTGAAGACGTTCCGGGTTCAATTTGGGTGTGTCTAAGATCAGCCGTGCCGAAGGTTTGATCAACGGAAGAGTTGTCAATAAGGTGGCTGCAATCGGAGGTCATTCACATCAAATTGGAGGACTTGATTCATCTTGAATCAAGGGGCAAGAAGTGGTAGAAATTATCAGCAACATTAAGATTGTTTGTATCAATTGTCTATCGATTCTTGTGTATAACTGTTCTACCAAACAGGTGATATCTATTCAATACATATCTCAATTCTCATTGTAGAATTGAGGGCAGACGTACCCCAACGCGAGGACGACTGGGGGAACTGCCTCATCAAATCTTGTGTTCCTTTATTTTCTGCATTTTCAATTACAGCTTAAAAATTAAGTGATTCTAGAATAAGTGATTTTGTCAAATTGTAGTATTGATTGAGTGAGTTGGTGAAACACTGTTTTTTAACTACTAAGTACAATAGAAATACTGTACTAAGGCTTTTTCAATCACTCATTCAACACAAATATCATTTAAGGTATTTGTGCACACCAACTGTTCGACAAAAGTGCTGAACTAAAATTGCCTTAATTTTGCTGCTAGTTTTGTGCACACCAACTGTTCGACAAAAGTGCTGAACTAAAATTGCCTTAATTTTGCAGCTAGTTTTGGTGTAATTTTTTGATCATTGGAATAAGGAAATAGTACGAGTGAATCACATCTGAGTTTTGCATAAAAGTGTGTAGTGATTTACTATCCGTTATCGTCTTAAATTCATCTGCTTGACGCATATCCGGTTCTCCAATAGTTGTTCGTTTTAGACTATATTTTCCAAGGCCGCTTCCGCATTTGAAAACAATTTTGAAAACCAATTTTATTGGTAGCGCCACTCAAATTTTTTAAAAGGGATCTATTCAACCCCCCCCTTCTAGATCCGTGCCTTAGTCTAACAAGTGGTATCACGAGCTCCGGTTCTCCGGTGCTTCAAATACAACATTGATAGAATAATGGCTAACGAACCAAAAGGGGCGTACAATAGAGCTCCCGTTTTTAACGGTGAAAATTATAGCTATTGGAAAGACTGTATGCGGGTGCACATTAATTCCATAGATAGAAAGATATGGAACGTTATTCTCAATGGTCCGATTGAAATAACCATGACAAATGAGAATAACGAAGTTGTGCCAAAGCCCGAAGCACAATGGACCGACGACGATGAGCGAAAGTATAATTACGATTGGAAAGCTAAGAACATTCTAATCTCCTCATTAGGTGTAGATGAATACTACCGTGTATCCCATTGCCCTACGGCTAAGACTATGTGGGATGCACTACAAATTGCCCATGAGGGGACAAACGATGTTAAGTTGGCTCGAATCAACACTCTTATACAAGAGTTTGATCTTTTTTTCATGGAGCAAGGGGAAACCATTGCTGACATGCAAAAGAGATTTACTCATCTCATAAACAGATTACATTCACTAGGAAGACCTATTTCCAATGATCTTGCTACTAATAAAGTTTTGAGATGTCTTAGCAGGGAATGGCAGCCGAAAGTGACCGCCATCAAAGAGGCAAATGATCTTACGGTATTAGACCTGACTACATTGTTTGGCAAACTACAAGAGCATGAACAGGTACTCTTGAGTCTTGACCAACATGAAAGGAAAGAAAAGAAGGACAAAGTAAAGATGAGTGAAAAGAAGTCAATAGCTCTTAAGGCTTCTTCCTCGAAGTCTAAAGCAAAAGAGCAAAGTGATTATTCTTCAAGCGACGACGAAGAAGAAGACATAAATGAGGACATGAGGCTGTTCGTTAAACGGTATAACCGGTACGTGAGAAAGAACGGCATCCAACATTCGGAGAAGAACCTGGTAAATTTCCGAAGGCAATCAAGGTTCTCCAAAGATGACAATCAAAAAGGCAAAAAGACTAGAGGAACGTGCTATAAATGTGGAAAGCCCGGTCACTACAAACCGGACTGTCCAATGAACAACAAGGGAAAAGAAAAGGAACAATCGAAGTCACATAAGAGAGCATCAAAGCCCAGGAGGGCGTACATCGCGTGGGAAAGCGACAGTGATTCTTCCTCCTCTAATGAAAGCTCTAGTGATGAAGAAGAGTCCGTGAATCTATGTCTCTCCGCAAATCAGAAAAAGAAAAAGAAACAGGTACGTCACTCTAGATATAATATGTCATCTAATATGTCTCATTCCGAATTACAAACCGCATTCGATGTTTTACACAAGGAAGCAACTGAAGCCTTTAAGAAACTTGCTTCTAATAGAAGAATTTTTACATATTTAGAGCACAAAGTCTTAGAGTCCGAAAAGAAATTAGAGGACCTTAAGGCTTCCATTGTGAAAGATAATGAATCGGATTGTAAGGACAATAGTAATCCTTTCAACTTTGGTTGTGATACTTGTCATATTTGGCAAGGTGAGGTTAGAAACCTTAAGGCCAAATTAGACAAGGCACTTGAACCTAAAATTACATTTGCAATCGATAAAAAGGATTTTAGAAAAAGTATGATAAACCCATATCAAAAATATGCATATGTAATTAGGGATCAAGCAAGTGAAAGTGATTCTAATGTCGACTTTGTATGCTTTTACTGTTGCAAGAAAGGCCACTCCATTGGTAAATGTCGATTTAGGAGATTTCTTGTTCCTAAAGGCATCTACCAATGGTTGCCCAAACGCAACCGTCTTGTCGCTAACCTATTAGGACCCAATATGCCATTGGGTACCTCCCTTTTCTAAGTTATATTTTGACAGGTGAAATGTGTCGAGTCCACCGAGAGAAGATGGATTCTTGATAGTGGGTGCTCAAGGCACATGTCTGGAGACATATCCTTATTCATAGACTTCGTGGCTAAGAAGAAAGGGTATGTAACATACGGTGATAACAACCGCGGAGCGATACTAGGTAAAGGTAGTATAGGTAATCCCTCCTCTACTACAATTTCCGATGTGTTGCTTGTCGAAAACCTTAAACATAATCTCCTTAGCATTAGCCAATTATGCGACAAAGGTTACAATGTTTCCTTTTCAAAAGATTGCTGCAAAATTGTGCATGAAAGTGATAAGAAGAATGTGTTTATTGGTTTTAGAGTAAACAATGTGTATATGCTTGACTTGAATGTGGTATCCCCAACAAGCGATCAATGTCTCATATCTATGAGTGAAGACTCATGGCTATGGCATAGGCGCTTAGCGCATGTCAACTTTGACTTACTCAATAAGATTGTCTCAAAAGATCTAGTACTAGGACTTCCCAAAATTAAGTTCACCAAGGATCACCTTTGTGATGCTTGTCAAAAAGGAAAACAAACGAGGATCTCCTTTAAATCCAAAAAGATTATTTCAACAACGAGACCTCTTGAACTACTTCATATGGACTT